GGAGAAATGCAAGGTGCTCCACCTTGGGGAAAAAGAAACCCGTATCACACTCATAGGCTCATCAGTGCTACATTCACTATCACGATGGTCAAAAGAGACTTGGGGGTCATGACTGATCACAAGATGAACACGACCCACCAATGCGATACCATAGCTAACAAAGTGAATAAAACTCTCGCTTGCATCTACCGATGCATCTCAAGCAAGACCTGGAAAGTCATCCTCCTGCTGTACTCGGCCTTGGTGAGGCCACAGCCGGAGTACTGCATCCAGTTTTGGGCTCCACAATTCAAAAAGGATGTGGAGAAGCTTGAGAGAGTCCAGAGAAGAGCCACGCGCATGATCAGAGGTCAAGAAAACAGACCTTACGATGACAGGCTGAGAGCCATGGGGCTCTTTAGGCTGGAAAAGTGCAGGCTCAGGGGTGATCCAATGGCCACCTATCAGGGATCTGGGGGAACGATTGTTCACCAGAGCACCCCAAGGGATGATGAGGTCGAACAGTCATAAACTACTACAAGACTGTTTCAGGCTGGACATAAGGAAGAATTTCTTTACTTTCCGAGCCCCCAACGTCTGGAACAGCCTGCCATCGGAGTGGTTCAAGCACCTACATTGAACACCTTCAAGAGTAAATTGGATGCTTATCTTGCTGGGATCCTTTGACCCCAGCTGACTTCCTGCCCTTTGGGTGGGTGGCTGGACTCGATGATCTTCCGAGGTCCCTTCCAGCCCTAATGTCTACGAAATCTATGAAATCCTTCCCTGCTATTCCAGTCTAAAGGCCCTCCCAACACCCAGCTCTAATCTTTTTGGCGCATTTTTTTCTTTACCAAGTTAATTGCTTTAGATCAGTGGTTCTCAATCAGGGGTTGTGGCACCCTGGGGTGCCTTGCAGTCCTTTCAAGAGTGCTGCAGGGTGCCCCACAGTTTTAGCATTGTTAGGTGTGCAAACATGATGCACAAGATAAACCTAGAGATTTCAAGTAGGTGTCCATAGTGTAAAAAACACCCAAACCTGTTGTGATCTTTCTGAGTTCTTTGCAAACAGAAAAATGGCTCTGTTGTTATTCTGTAGTCAAAAATGATTGAAAACTAAGAGCTGGCATTTTCCAAGGGTTGCCTCAAGGTTTTCAAGCGGTGTCTCGAGTATGAAAAGGTATAGAACTGCTACTTTAGTTGTCATGCTGTCTTTACCTCCCATACACCTCTGGCAGCTTCATTTCTTGGGATCTTGGGTAAGAATTTCACCATTCATGTCCCTTATGGCAGAAAGCAGGGGACAGTGAAGCTAGTCATAAACAGAGACTTAAAAACTATCAGAGCTCACCCAAGGTCTTGCATTACCAGCTAGTACTGAGGCCAGGAGTCACCCCTTGAAAATTCATATAGGTAAAACCTTTGAAACACCAACTGGATGTGCTCAGAGCCCACAGCCAAAGGCACTGAATGGATGAACCCTGGGAACTGAACATAAGGCAGTTTGGTTCCAGTCTGGCTTTATGTTGTGAGGGGTGCCTGGCCTTGGGAGACTGGAAAAGGAATATGATGCCTTTCCCCTTTCAGGACGCCAGTTCCAGTCCAGTCATAGGTCATCAGGAAGCAAACGCCATTCATGTCTATTAGGCACAAATAGCTGTTCATAGATTTCGTAGACGTTAGGGCTGGAAGGGACCTCGGAAGATCATCGAGTCCTGCCCCCCGCGCAAGGGGCAGGATGGGGTCAGCTGGGGTCATAGGATCCCAGCAAGATAAACATCCCATTTTTTCTTGAAGGTGTTCAATGTAGGTGCTTGAAATCGGCTGGGTGGATAGCTGGCTGCTGGCAATTGTTGTTAACTGGCCCCTTAGTTGGCAGCTTCAGCAAAAGTGCAGGACTGACTGGGTCACGGTCTTAAAGGGATTCCTGCACTGCAAGTTGAGGCTTGTAGTGGATGTGTCATGTGTGAAAGACAGGTTGGCCTGCCACTGCCCAGCAAAGACTACTCTTCAGTGCTGCAAGGGATACAATCTCCAGAAACCAGCAGGTCAGCTCCTGAAATCACCAGGAGACCTTGAAGTGGGACTGAATTCTGAGCTATTTAAACTGGGCAGCATCAAAAACAAAGGTCACAGGTTTTGAGTTCCCCCATGGACTTAGGACTCAGCTCATCTCTGATCCTGTCACCTGAGGGCAGCTGTCCAGGGAATGTTTGAGCTAAAACATCAGTATGTTAATCAGTGTCAGAACAGGAGGCCTTGTATGATGCAGGCTAGGGCACTGAGACTGTGGAAGCATAATTGGGGGTTGAGAGGATCATCAATACTGCTCCCAGTTGCTGAGTAGAAGTAGTGCTTACTCACTCTGCTCTCCCATGACTTTCTCTCCAGATGTGGCGGCACAGCTGGAGCCATCCTGACCTGCCCCCTAGAAGTAGTGAAGACGCGTCTACAGTCTTCCTCATTGGCCCTGCGACCTTTGTATTATTCTGAGGTACAGCTGCAGGGCGTGAATGCAGGATTAATGCGACCAGCACCTCCTTCCATAGGAGTCCTCAGGCTGCTAAGGTGAGTAGGGAAGGCAGTGACTTCATTTAGCACCAGGAGGGCATTTGGGGACTGGCAAGGAAGCGGGTGGGGTGGAGGGGCAGCCAGGCTTACAAGTAACTGGCTGATTGACATGCAAAAGTGGACAGGTTGAGGAAGAATGTAAATGATGGAAGTGAGGGTTGGTCTGAAACTTGGGAGATGAAGGCCAGGAGAAGAAAGGGCATCTGGGCACAAAGTTGTCTCCTTTTGTTTAGGCTGTCTCCAGGCTTTGGGAAGCTGGGCAAAGTTTACAACTCTTAGTGAATAAACAGGCTGTGAACACAGCAGATGGGAAAAGCAGAGGGCAGGTGCAGGGAGGGAGCTGAAGAAATGAAAAGGGGAGGAAGTTGAAGAAGTGGAGGGAGAGGATGTTAACAGGAACAGAAAGAGAGAGAAATGGGAGAAAGACACAGAGAATGGGAAGGAGGAGGAGAAAGAGGAGAGAGGCAGAAGGATGGGCAGAGCAAGCAGCCTGGTCTCTTCTCCTCTGATACCTTCATTCATTCCCTCCCACAGGACCATCCTGGAGAAGGAAGGGATAGGCTCCCTCTTCCGAGGTCTGGGTCCAACCCTAGTTGGGGTTGCCCCATCCAGGTAAGAATCACTTGCTAAGGATGACCCCCCATCCCTTGTAAGAGGTCTCTCCAGTGGTATAACTAGGGCAGGGTGAACAGGGCAACCACCCTGGGCACCAGCTTGGTGGAGGGGAAGGTCAGGAAAAAGCAGCTGCTGCTGGCAGCTGCATGATTGTGATTACACGGCATCTGGAATTCAATGCTGCCTGTGTGCCCCATGTCTGGCTTTGTCCCTATTCTGTTGGATCTCCCTAGGCTTCACCCTTCCTGCAGGGCCTTGCCATACCTTCCTAGAGTACGCAGAGCCCAGCACACAGTACAGGCTCCAGGACTGCTAGAGGGGCACTCACTGGAAACCCCTTACCCTGGCTTGTGGGGTTAAACTGACCCCTGGTGGCCAAGGGTTAGTAGTGTCCCAAGTAGCATCAGTGCAGAGTCTCTCATGCCGTGGTGTTGTTGCTGTTCCTCCCAGATGTTTCCTAAACATGGGTGTATTTCTCTCCCCAACCAGGGCTGTATATTTTGCTGCTTATTCTGGCGCTAAGGAGAAACTCAATGTTATATTTGAACCTGAGTCCAAGAAGGTGCACATGCTCTCAGCGGCCTGCGCAGGTGAGCTGCTCCCCACTCCAGATGACACCAATGGCTTCTGCTGCCTGCAGTGCCTGTCAGCATGTGGGGGATGTGCTTCACCCCAGTGTCACTGCTGGAACCCTGTCATTACTTTGCTGACTGACCCTTCTAAAGCAGTTTCTCCTACACCGTCCTAGCACAGCTAATTCCATGAGTTAACAAAACTTAGCAGGAAATAGGTCACCTTCTTAATTTACCTTCACCTTCTTAAAGTAATTGATTTAGGCCTTAGCCCCTCAATTACTAAGGGAAAGAAAGCACCCCACAAGGGGAAACAGACAGGTCATTCAAACCACATACACAACCCCCAGCATCCCAGATTCTTTCCCTGCACCTGCTGTCCTTCCTGTCTCTGAAACCCTCCATCTTCAGGAAAGTCTTGCTGATTCTTGTGTCTCACTTCAGGTTCAGCCTCCCTTTTCCTGATTTCAGGGACTGTGAGCAGGAAGCAGAACTTCAGTGAGAGATGTAGAATGGAGGATTCCTTGCAAGGCAGGGAGAGCTAAACAGACCTGTCCCTCAAACCTTTCCTTCTCAAGAGGCCCCTGAGACCTTCTCAAATTGGCATACTGCAATGGCTTGTTAACCATCATTCAGAGGGGCAATCCAATGGTAACTCCACATGAGCTCTCAGCACCACCCTGACACCTGCCTTAAGCTCTGATCCTTTCTTTATTCTCACCAGGAGTTGCTTCTGCAACACTGACCAACCCCATCTGGCTGGTGAAGACCAGGATGCAGTTGGAAGCCAGGTAAAAGGAGGAAGAAGCCACCTTGTTCACAAGAAGTTAGGGAAGTTGACCAGCTAACAGTACCGGCACTTTCAGCGTGTGGTAGAAACCAACAGATATTAATGACTTTCCACACTCAGTTTTATGGGGTGGCCAGGGGAGGCATAGCCATGGCTCTGGTATTGGGCAGGTAGTTACTGAGTGAGAGATTCTAATCTTCCACTCCACTTGGTCTCTGCAGGCTAAAGGAAGACGCACGCTGTAATGCCCTCCAATGTGCCATGCGCGTGTACCGCACTGAGGGCCTGCGGGGATTTTACCGTGGAATAAGTGCCTCCTATGCTGGTGTTTCTGAGACCATGATCCATTTTGTTATCTACGAGGCACTAAAACAGCGGCTGAGAGAGCAACAGCCACTGCTCTCCCCAGCCCTGGGTCTTCCTACCGACACCCTTGACTTCTTTGGACTGATGGGAGCTGCTGCTGTTTCAAAGACATGTGCTTCATGTATCGCATATCCACACGGTGAGCATAGCCCCTTTGACAGCACCTACCAGGAAAAGCCAGGCCTGGAGGGCAAATCAATTATTACTGTCTTTCTGTTTCCCCAGAGGTTATCCGGACACGGCTAAGGGAAGAAGGGTCCAGGTATTGCTCCTTTGTGCAGACCCTGCGTCTGGTAGTACAGGAAGAGGGACTGTTGGCTCTTTACCGAGGACTCCTGGCTCAAATGATCCGCCAGATCCCCAACACGGCGATCACAATGGCTACTTATGAACTGATCATCCACTTGGCCACTAAATTGTAACCATGCATGCCCACATGAGCCCCTTTGAGAAGCTGCTGGATGTAGGCTGAGGATGCAAGGCCTTGGAAATTAACGTGTTCTATTCGGTGGCACTGTACATTGCATACCAGGGGACCTGGGCGATGCTCAGTGCATTTGCTGCAACATCTGTTTTCTGCTGCCAGGATATAGCGTTCCCAGGTCATGGTATTTTGTGTGTGCGCGCTGTCTTTAACTCCACTGGGCATTGTGCTGCCTCTGGGCTTTCTCGACAGGGACACTAACTTATCTGTGTTCCAAGATGTCAATGCATATGCCAGACTATGCGCAGCAGGGGGCTTAAAGTGAAAGTACAAAATCATACAGCTTTAAGAGAGAGAAGAAAATACACAAGTATAAATAATGAACCTAGGAGCTCCACTGCCTTGGGGCTAATGCTTGGCCGTAATGGGTGTGGATGGACATGTAGCAAATGATGGGGAGAAGAATGAAATCTGAGTGAAATCCTGCACCAGGCAGAGGTCGTCTTCCATCCTGGGGTCTCTGCAGACTCTTAAGTTTATGTATTGTCCATTTTCAAGGAGCTCTTCAAGTTTAATTGACAGATTATACATCCCATGGCACAGTCCTCTATTTGGGTAATCAGGCAGCATCCGTAAACTGTAGAGGATTAAAGATGGCCATTCCCTTCTCTCTCCCCCCAAAATCATTGAGCAGCTGAGCAGTTAACTCAGCACGCACTTCCCCATTACTGCAGGAGATGATGGGGGAGTAAGAGGCTTTGGGCTGAGAAGGGGACAGCCTGCTGTGGGAAAACTCTGCTGGCAGCTTGTGTTCCTTTGTCCATTGTCTTGCTTGGATCTGTTCTGGAACATGGGGAGGGAAGGACCTGCAGCATCCTTTCTGCTATTCCCCCCACCAGGAGGCATGGTGACACTAGGGCTAGTAACTGTGACCTGGGATCCTTGTGTCTGTGAATGACCCGCTCATAGCGAATACAGGGAGTAGAGATAAAGATTTTTTTAATTAATGCACTGAGTGTAAGGAAAGGGTTTTTCTTACAGAAAAATGACTGTATTTTAAAGTATTTGAACTGTTTTAGACTGATCTTTTCCCAGCACCCCAGGCTTTCTGTACCAGGGCCAGATTCTTGACAATCAAGACCTGTTTTGACTGAGTGGGTGACCTCAGCTGAGGGAGGCAAATAGCACTGGAATGTGCTAATTTGAAAGAACTGAAAATCATGTTCTTTTGCCTGGTAGGCCAGGCTGTGTGAGACTAAGCTACCCTGAAGCACCCTCTCTGCTTCCTCTCTCCCAAAGAAGAATCAGAGGCCATGGCTGTTTTATTTTAAATCCTTTTATTTTAAAATCTGCTTCATTCCCTCCTCTGTCCTTCACTTGTTTGTTTTAGGTTTATTGACAATTTTACAAAGCGACACAAGCTGCAGGGTTCAGTTGGGAGTTTGGGGTGGGCTGGGTTTTTGTGTTTTTTGGCAGAGCGGGGAAGGTTGTGCGTCAAACAAGAATAATCCTTGAACAACAACATTGAAAAAATATACAATATATATAATACACAGGGGTTGTGACAGACTCTGCTCAGTCAGCCACTTCTGCTGGGCCCTCCTTTCCTAGTGCATCTCTCCCCTCTGTTCCTTCCTGGAATCAAAGTGCAGGCTCAGAGTTCCCCTGTCCCAGCCTGCCTTTCTGGGGAGTAGCACACGGGAAGAGGGGCCCACAAGTGTGGGAAGGTCTAAGTGCCTTTCACTGGGCTCTGTGCCCCCAGGGAAAATGGCCAAGGAGGAGGAAAAAGTTGGGCAGGGAGATGAAAAACAATGGGAGAAAATATGCATAAGGGCAAGATTAAAAGGACAGTGGGAAAGACTCAGGAGAAGCTGTCACCTCCCCCCTAGGCTGTAAGCTGGGGGAATCCACCTGGTTAGCATCCTCCTCCCCTTCTCCCTCCACTGCAGGGCCCCTAGTAACAGTGGGGGACATCTCTTTTGCCCATGGTGCGCCGGTCATCTGCATCATCAGTGCCTGGGGTGTCGGGTGTATCTGAGTCGCTGCTGTCATCCTCATCGTCATCATCTTTCATTGCTCCTTTGCTGACTTTGGCCTCCCTGCTGCCTGCTGTCCTCTCCTGGCAGCTCTGGTATGACTGCAAAGAGATCACTCATGAGGGTGAGTGAAGGGCACTAGAGCTTCAGTCTCCACTCAGATACCAGCCCTGCTTCCCATCTCTGCTCCCCTTCTCACCTCCATAGGGTTGACAATGATGGTGAGGGATGAGTCATCCCAGAACATATCACTTTCCTTGGTGCTGGCTCCCATCTGGCCCCCTGTGGCGGCACCTGGGGCCTCATGTCCAACCCCCCGGCGATGCAGAGAGTGGATACGTAGGATGCCCAGGATTACCATGAGTGCCAAGAAGCCCACACACACCACAATGATGATAGTGGCAGCACTGGGGACCACTGTGGAAGAAGAAGGGCAGACAAGCAACACGTTACAGGTATCAAGTAAACACATGTTCCCAGTCTGCCTTAAGTTTAGGCCTAAGAGGCCAAGGCCATCAGGGAGGCTTGTGGGAGTTCTCAGGGCAAGAATTTGGACTTAACTCTTCCTTGCCTTTCTGCAGGACCAGTTCTGGGCTTCCTACTCAGCATCTCATCCTTGCTAGCTACCCCTGGATAACGTATGTGCTGAGCCTGCTGTCTGGTTCCTTTTGGGGTCCTACAATGCATGACCACCGACCCTCATGAACACCTCCTAGTGCCTCAGAAGGTTGCAATTCACCTGGCACCTGGTGTTTGTTCTTTCATCCTCTCCACTGGGGGAGAAATGCATGCCATGAAGCATTGTTTTTGCAGGGTTTAGCTTTTTATGGGGAAAGGGAGTGTAAGGGTAGGTGGAGGATGGTTCTACAAAGCAGTGTATTAAAGGCAAGCTTAAAATAACATATTTTGTTCTTGAAGCTGGAGAGGCTTGCAGTGGTCCTTAGTGCCTTCCACAGCCTCTGCACAGATAAGCTTTGGCTTTCTCATGGGCCCTCTCAGCCTTACCCCAATTTCTCTGCCTCTTTGGTCTCTGTCCTGACCCCCACAGTCCTTTACTGAAATTCTCTGCAGACTGGCTTCATCCACTATTACCAACTTAAAGGCCAGTTCTCCAATCTGGCTCCACTAGACTCACCTGAAGGAGGGAGGGGCAAAGGTAAAGCTAAAACTACCTTCGTGCTGTGGACAGAGACACTACAGAGATAGTTTGAAGACAGGAAGAGTACAAACTGGGACAGTCTTGTAGCAGCTGTCCCCACCCCTGTAGAGCAGTTACAGGACCAGGAACAGAGACAGCCTAGCCAAGGGCTGGGATCAATGCAGGGGCCACTCTGGCAGTTCCATGTCCCTTCCAGTGACTCCTTAATGCAAGGGGAATCTTCCAGTGGTCAAATGGCCTCACTTTGTGCCACACTGCCAATGGAAAGTAAGGATAAAGTAGATGGGGTATATCCAATGGGTCACTGATTTGCTCTCCAACCCATTTCTCCTTGCCTCCACCAACTCCCACTGTAGAAGCCAGAGCCACCATCTCTGTAGCCCCCTAGCTTTGTGGAACTGTTTCCTCATTCTTACTGATGACTACGTAGTCCCAGTGGTTGTTTCTGAGCAGCCTGAGCCTTGATTCTGCTCTTTGGTTTCTGGCCCCCACACTATGCTGTCTCTCAGGATCTGTGTTAGTATGCAGCTTTTCTAGGTCACACAAAATGTGGCAGCATCAGCCCACAACTCTGCTTTTCTTTGTTTCTGGCAGATAAAAGCTTCCAAGTGCTCTACACCAGCCATCAGCAATGCTTTGGCCTAACTCAAGTCTGAGATGGGCTGGTGCTAGGACCCTGCTACTGCCACTGCTGCTTGCTGTTGCATCTCCCTGCCACCCAGCTGCAGCACTGCCAGGGCAAAGCTCCCCTTCACTCAACCATAGTGCAGTGCAGGTGAATCTGTAAATGCCAAGGCCCCCTGCTACCAAAGCCTCTGCTCCACGTGTCAAATCCACTGGCTCTGCAGACCAGGTTGCTGACCCCTGCTCCGCACACATGGGCACAATGACAGTGTGGGGACTGCTTCACCCAAAATTCAAATGCAGACATTTCTGGTTTAGGCTGCTCAAAAATAACTGTGTGGGATAAGAAGCCAGAGAGAGCTATCTGCATACCTGAAACTGTAGGGCTGGGGTGGAACTCAGGGATCTTCTTTCTGGCTTCCAGATACAGAGTTTTACCAGGATTTCAGAATTAATAGCCTGACCCAAGGGACTGGTGACAGAGAACCATCCAGTATGTTGGTTTCATGTTTCATCATGAGCCCATCTCTACTATAGGACCACTCTGAGGTGCTAGGGCTAATGCTGATTTCAAAGACAGCCCACCCCTAATAAGCCATCTATACCAGCAGTTGGCAAGCTTTTGAGAAGTGGGCTGGATTGATCCAATTCAGGTCAGGGGTGGGCAGGTGAGTAGGCGCCAGGCAGCATGGGCAAGCCACTGCTGCCAAAAACGCCATGTCCACTGGCCAGATCAAATGGCTCCATGGGCTATAGGCTGCCAACCCTTGATCCATGCCATTTCCTGCAATGCAGTGTCTCCTAGCTCTGGGGTCAGCATGAAGATGCAGGTGTCTGAGCAATTCTGCTTGGAGGCCCTTGCAAGGCAGCAGCAGGGTTACATACTGGAGTTGCGGTGGACATTGGCCAAGCTGTGCCCAGATAGCTCTGAGGGTAGATGGTGACCTCGGTGCATAAGCTGCTGAGAGCTGAGGATGTGGTTAGGATGAGCGGCCCAGTTCATGTTGTGCAGGACATTCACCTGTGGGAGGACAAGAGAGGAATTCGTCTTCATATTCACTGTAACACAGCTCTCCCACATGTGCATGCACAGGGCCCTTGTACCTCAACAGTAAACTCGTTGCTGGAGTAGCGCCCATTCATTTCCGTGCAGGAAAGGCGGAACTTTCTTTCATAGAGGGCAGCGCCATGGCGAATGTGATATGAGACCTGGTGAAGGATCTCCTCATACACTGCAATGCTCTCCACACCTGGGAGTCAGAAAAGAGTCAGGTCTGTGGCAAGGGAGCTCCCACTTCCAAATGCCACAGCTCGTATTGATGCACTCCTGTTCAGTCCAAGAGCCGTGGGGGAGTCTAAAGAAAGGCC